CTAACTATGGGCAGAACTTTGTGCCATCAGAAACTGAATTTGAATAAGTTACATTTGAATTTGAATTACTCAACTTGAATGAAAGCTTCTAAAACTCAATTAGAATTAGCATAATTTGAAATCCAATGTATTGATTTGGAAATGATCATCACTAAATTGAAACTGAATTTTATATTTTGAAAATTAATTAATTTGAAACTGTCCTTCTTTAATTTTAGCTATTGAATGCTTTCAGTTTCACTTCGCACCATTCAATTTCAGTGGTACAATTCAGTTTTTGGGGTCATACATCCGGGTCATTCGTGAAAGTAATCGAGTGCTGATTAACAGAACTATGTTGTGTCATGAACTGGCTGTGTGGAGGCAGAAGAGGACCCAAACGCAAAACTCACGGAGGCAGGAACTGAACTCAAAAGCACTGCTTTTTTGCAGGTTTCACAAAGGAACAGAACTAAACTGGGAATACTAACAGAAGACCGAGGGAACACAGAAAGACACACAGGTTCGGGGAGGAGACATTGACGACGCGACACTGACCTGAGGGAGACATGCACATAAATACACAGAGGGTTAACGAGGGAAGTGGGAGCACACGGGGAACACAGCTGACACAGATAATCATAACGAGACAGGGCAGGAGTGAACACAACATGACGCATACTGACGAGAGACTGTCAAAGTAAAACAGGAAGTACACGGAGGTTCAGACAGGAGGAAAGAGAGCACGGGGAGAACACAGACATAACAGGCTGGGGAAAACATGGAATAAAACACAAGGAGAGACGAGGGCTCACAGATACACAGGGGCACACAGGAGGTAACCAAATAAGGAACATCTTAACTAAATAACCTAAGAACCAAGGCATAAATAGGGAACAAAATACAAAAGCACACAAAAACTAACAATACTGGGCCAACATGGCCCAGGACCATGACATGTTGTACCTGCGGAGTGTCACTGAGTGGACCTACGGCATCTTGAGCTGAGGCGGGGTACAGATTAAGCATTCAGAAGTCATTCATCTTGTTATTATCTGTTATGCTTATTGTAGCTGTTACCTAAAAACACTAATTTAGCGTAGTTTGCCCTGGGTTCAGCTTTGACAAATGAATATGATCGACTGTTTCCAGCAGAATTCCACAGTTGTCATCGTGTACCCTCTCACAGCTCCGTATGCTTGCAGAGACCCCCACAGTAGGCAAATATGAAAATGAATGCCCAAACCATTGTATTTTAGGGGTTTTTATGTCTTCCCAACTCTTTAGCTAACCTAATAACTTTAGCTAAAGTGAACAGTTAGTCTAATTCCTGAGTGCAGCATTACTGGATCACCTCTGTTAACAGACACTCAACCACACTTGTCATATTCCGTATGGTGTTCATGTAATTTTCTACCCAACAGTTCAGCAAAAAACACATGATGATTTCAAGTATGTGATGACAAAGGCCTTCCATTATGGTCTTTGTCATCACAAGTCTGGCTGATCATGTTTAGATGACTGGCCTTTTGATGCCATGACACCCCTGACCCATCAAGACAAGTCTCCACTAGCTCCCTGAAGGTGTGCTGTGTCATCTGGCAATAAGATGTTAGTATGATGTGGTGTGAAATAGATTTGTTTGTCCTGAACATCCCACAGATGGTCAACTGGACAATTCTTCAAACTCTTTTTGAACATTTTTGGTTCATGGCAGGGTGCATTATCCTGATGAAGGGGGCCACAGCCATCAGGGAATGCCATTTCCAATAAAGGGTATTCATGGGTGTGTTTTCTTTTAAGGGGTGTACTGCAACAGTGCTAAGGTAAGATGTTTCAAAGTAGCACGCACAGGACCCAAGGTAGCAGAACATTGCCCAAAACTGCACACTACCTCAGCTGGTTTGCCTTCTTCCCATAGTTCCCTGTCACTGGTGCACCACTGTTCCTTCATTGAATCACTTTTGATTGATAGTAACCACTTCAGACCAGAAACACCCCACAAGAACTGCATTTTCCAGTTTTTCTTGATGATCAGTGTCATTCCTTTCACCTTTCAGTAGTCATAGTGTTAGCTAAGTGTATGTTGGCCCGGTGCAAGCAATCATTGAAATATGTTTGGAAACTCATGACAGTAAGAACTGAGGCTGATAAAAGGTGCTTGGCTTAGTGTTTATATAGTATTTATAATAAAGTGCTTGCTAAGATCTAAATGGCTTAGGATTTTAGAGTGATGAGTTAAAAAAGTCTTTTCAGTCTTTTTCCAAAGCTGCACATAAAGCACCAGTAAAGTTGTAACTCCAAATAACGTAAACAGACAGTAAGAAATGCAAAATATTTCCTGTAGTCCCGGAAACAGTGTGATGTGAACTCTTCTGGCAGTGAACAAAAAGGAAAAAATGAATGTCTGTTATCTGACGACTACAGGAAAGAGCACAGCCCACAGAAACCAAAAGGTTCAAATGACAGTTTCTAATGCAGTCTCTGTACAAAAGGAGAATCTGGTGAGAATCAGCTTAGTGTTTTTTTTACAACAGGGAGAAGACGATGATACTTTCCAGCTTCAAAAGCTTCTTTATTTATTATTATTTGAGCTCCTTATTCTACCCAAGCAATGGTAAGACTTTCAGTTTCACCTTCTAAACTGTAGCAGTTTAATTTTAGTAATTAATTTTTCAACTTTAGTGATTAATGAGAACTGCTGGTCCAGTGAGTTAAAAATGGCCACAGTAGAACACAAATATGGACTTGCATTTCTCATGGTCAGTGTGTTATGTTATTGAAAGGTACAGTAAATAAAACATTTACCCTTAGATGTCTCTCCACATGGACTCTAATGACAGAAAGAAAAAACAGAAAGTTTTAACCTTGTTCCTGAATTTCTTTTTACCAGGTTTTGAGGTGATCCAGCCACAGAATAAGACTAATAACCCAGATACAGTTTTCATCAGCTGTAACTTTACAGCAAACACTGGGACAATTATAGATGTCCGACTCAACAAGGTTTTACCAGAGAAGTATGTCGAAGCATGTCTCTTGGTTTTAGTGAATTTGTGGTTTTTTTTGAGATGACAAAAACAAGCTTTTCTCTTTCACTGCAGGATGTTGAGAAATTCTCGTACTACTTGTATGAACTCATGTTTGCTGACTGAAGTTCTCTTTATGTTTTTGATCAAATGTTTGTATGACAAAAAGGTGTCTGTATGAAGTCTGTAGCAGTTCTATGTTCAAAAATCTGCAGGTTTTCGTTTCCATTTTCAAGAATTCTGCCTGCTGCAATTTTAACATTATTTCAATTAAAATAATTAGACTGGGTCATGCTAGCTGCATATCTAATATTTCTTTGTTTCCTTTCAGAAAGATGCTCTGCCAGACTGAATCTGAAGCCTGTCATAACATTATCGTACTTAAAGACGCTCCATTCAAGTACATTTTCATCTTACTCAATGCTGGGCCAGAGGCATGGACCTCAAAGTATGAATGTGAGTGGTCAGCAACAAATAAGGATGGGACGGACAAAACCGTGACAAGTGCAGCAAACAAATTAATTAAACTGCAACTACAAGGTATGTATATACAAAAAAAGATAAAAACAGAAATTGCATTTTATTTATTTATTAATTTTTGTCTGCAGAAGTGAAAGATTGAAATGACAAATGATGCAACAGAACGTCCACATTTTAGAGCATCAAATACTGTGATTCTGTCAGATGCTGTTAGAATAGTTGAGATTACAGTCTCCCTCCAAAGAGCAGTTTTCAGTTTGGAACAAGTCACAGTTGAGCTCTGCAGACAGCTTGTTCTGTTCATCAGAGCTGTGTTTTGCACTTCATTGCATACTCATCTGCTGGCTAGTTTTTGTTACGGGGGAGGGCAAAGTTCGGTTTCAGCCTAACTGGTTGTGGTCTCTCTGTGCGTATTGGCCATCATTAAAAAAAACATAAAACACATTCTTTCACAAATTTTCACAAATATTAAAACAGTAAGATGAAGGAAACATGTCCGAACACGAAATCATTTTAACAAATAACCTTTTGGCAGGCTGCTGGGAACCACACGGGAAGAGTGACGTGAGCAGGTCCTAGACAACATACGCACAAGGGTGATGAGGGGAGACAGCTGTCAACGCAGCAGGGACACATAAACATAATGCACATAGACTATCAAAATAAGACAGGAAACGCGGCAAAAAGTATAAGCACAGTAAGTCCTGCTGTGCAATTCAAAGGTACAGCCTAAAAGTTTTGATTTGGAGGTGGTAAAATTAGGAACTATGTGTTGTTAAAGTTGCAAATACAAACCCACGATTCTACTAAATCAAAGTTAAGACTTGAGACTTTTTTAGCAACAGAATCATAATGTCAGCAAAGACACTGTGACTCAACCTCCCTTGTGTCCAAGTTGCAAAGTCCGTGTGGTCTTTTAGCCCAAACCACACAAATTTTGCGATAAAAAGCCCAGGATATCCTCTTTACTGTGCACTAGGACTCATAGATTGCTTGATGTAGACGTCTCACATGTACGTCCCCCACACGGGACAAAAATGCATTGCTGTGTCTTAGAAGGATATGCAGGTAAACTCTGTTAGCACTGTATCAACACAGACACCCAGAATCTTCAATCAGAATGATGAAAATGGTAAATCGACGGGTTCTTTTTCTGCTCTGAGCACTCAGAGTGATTATACAGCATGCCTCATTCACTATTTCACACAAGCATTGCTTTCTAACATTCGCACATTTTGATGAATCTTGGGGTAAATGTCTTACCTGAGGATATTTGGCATACAGACTGCAGTAACCAGGGTTGAACCATCAACATTCTCATTAGTAGATGGTCTGCAGTGCATGTGTGGGTTAGGGGTGTGTTGTTAAACTTGTTAAACGTTTTTTTGTTCAACCATGTCCTGGAAATCAGGGCAAAATGTAGCTCTGTTTGATATGCATTAAAAACCATTTCAGTTTAGCACATGGTTAAGGCTGTGATGAGTGTTATCGCTGAGGACAAATTAGACCTCAGAGGGTTAATTGTCCAAGAGATTGCTCCTTACAGTTACCACTTTGTAAAGAAACTATCACAGAAATACTGCAAGGCTTTGAAACCTGTTGTTGACTCTTAAAATTAAAAATAAAAAAATAATAATTTCTGTGCAGGCTAGGATTTTTTTTCACCTCAGAGATTTTAGTCTGTATCGTTTCAGTGGTTTAAGCAGACAGAATCTTTTAACAGTATCTAAATCAAAGTTTGACTTCCTTGCATTGCTGGTCAGATCTGATCAAACTACGCCCACGCTACTGACGAAGCTGGCTGGATACTCTGTGCTGCTAAATGTGTAAAACAGTCTTTACAACAAAACCTAATAATGCATGTTTCTGAACGTGAAACTGGCTGCTGTTTATGTCGTTGTGTTTAGTGACGTCAGTCAAACCACTGAAGTACAAACAGGAAGTAACCACTGTTTTTATTAGGTCAACTGGAAATCACACCACAGTGTACTCCTCCCCCTTCACCTCCTCCTCCTCAGTCCCATCAGCTCATGTGGATTTTGATTGGTCTGCTGGCCCTGATGTTTGTGTACAGCTGTATCATCACCTCCTTCTACATGAGGCTTATGGTGACTATCTGTCAGAATTACTATTTTTCTGAGGCTGTAATTTACGATATATGTCTTTATATGTCTTAGTGTGTTTTTTATCAGATGTTTGTTATCATCTTGCCCGGACGCAACGTTAAAAGGTCCACAAAGCAGCTGAAAGCAGCTTTTACGATGGTCAGCCAGGTAATGGATGAAGGGAGATGTTTTGCTAGAGATTTTTACACAACCGTAGTTCATTTTCTAAATGAGAAAGAATTCAGGTTTAAACTTTTATATAAGGTCTATGATATGACCACAGCTTTCACTGTTCTTGAGGGCTTGGGGAGCTTCTTTTGATCGTTGTTATTTTGAGACTTTCTTAGTCTGAAATCATATTTGTTTGTTTTTCCAATTACAATTTAAAATGATTTTTGTTTCCAACTCAGTATAAGCTGTTTAAAAGCTGCTTTGAAATTCTGCTTTTTTTTTTTTACACTCACAGCAGACGATACAAAGCCATAAAATAATTGTTCAGCTCATAACAACACACAGTGGATGTTCTGTGTCAACCTCAAGAGTCCTTTGAAATGAAACATCAAAGTAAAAGCTGTATGCCCACTGACCCACACAGATTTTTATTGACATCAGACATTGTTACAGTTAGACACACACAAGTTAAATTTATAATGTTTCCTAATAAGCTGACTGTAAATATGAAATGGACAAAAGCAGGACGTCCCCAAAACCGAATGCAGTTTTAATGCATCATTTTCTGCTATGAGATTGTATAACGCCTGCTAAGCAATAGGCTCCAGCCCTTGTAACATAACTAATGTGAAATTAGTCTATAAGGTGTTCTTTAGAGTTAAAAGACTTTCAAATTCTTACTGCTTTTCTTTCTTACATAAATTCCATCAATTTTGACAAGCGTCCCAACACCACTGTTGAAATGTGGCCCCAAACCATCACGCTGTGTTTTACAGTTGGCTGTATACACTCACTAATCCACCTCTTTCCTGACCTCCTCTCTATATCTTGATGCCAATGTGCTGCTGATTTTCACTCTACTTCTTGAAAAATTTGGCACACACCAGCCTTTTTCTCCCTGTTTTCTCTGATCCCAAAGAATCACTGTCCATGTTTGCAAATTTTGCTTCATCTGACCACAGAAGAGTTTTCCACTCGACGATGCCGACCGGAGGATTGTGACTTTGATCCTTTGTCCCTCGAGCATAAAGATTTCTCCTGATTCTTGGAAACTTTTAATGTTATGTACTGTAGAAAGTTATTCTATTTTACATTGAAGACCATTGTTCTGGAATTGTTTCACAATTTGTAGACAGTTTTTTCAAAGTGAGTTTACAGACAGTTAATAAGATACTGAAAGACATCCATAAAAACTGTCCTGCCTTTGTGCCGTGCCTGAACACCCAGTTTTAACAGCAGTATTATCATTAAATACATTTAACAGAATAAAGCTATCAAAAGAATGAGGCCGAAATGTCTGCATCTCCTCTGCACTTAATGTTACTAAACTAATTACTTGAAAAGAAATCCTGCTGTAGGTGATGTGTCACTTTTGTGGGTTTTTTTTTGTTTCAGAACAGCAGCAAAGATTGCGAAAACTCCACCTATGTTGAAATGAGGAACGTTCCAGTTCAGCTGCATCCTCACCACATTTACAATACTATGCAAAAGGCTTGAGCTGCCCCTCATTTCTTTATATCTTATTAGGAAAATGGGTAATAGGTTCAACAATGTCTTAAAACATGTAAAAATACATGGAAATACAGTATCTGCAGTAAATACAACTGTGTACACAAATGCATAAACAGAGTCTTCACAATTCTAAGGAACTTTAAATATTTCATATGACCAAACTTATTCTTCTACATAGCCTGAACTCTCATGGGCAAGATTGCTTATAATGTCTGTTAGTAGTTTTCAGGGCAGGGGGGGCTGGCTGCCTTTATTCCATTTTCCATGAAGCTGGTGTTGAGGCCCAGACCATGACTAACAGTTTTCTACCCAGATATGCTTTTTTTCTCAATCCATACGACCTGTTGACACTGACTGAATAGACTGTAAAGTCGGCATTGATTAAAGTATAACTTTGAAAGAGCTTTAGAAACCTTAGAGAGCTGCTGATCATGACCAGTTTAAAATGTTACAAGAAAGTTCAGCTCCTTAGAAGCAAAATATAAAGAAATGAGGGTCGCTCAAGACTTTTGCACAGTACTGTAGCTGACTCATCTGTCTTCAGTATCTTCAAAAAGAAGACGCGAACAGCTCATATTGTGCTCTCAACATTTTGTTCTTCAGTATTTGACAGTTCATTAAGTTGTATTGTGCAATAGCAGAAAACCTGTGTAGTACTGAAGTAAAGAGGGGGGTGAACTGACCTCTTAAAGGCACATGGTTTTATTGACCTATAATATGATCCATTAGTTTAATCTTTTTAAAGTCTTACTTTATTAAAAGAATGTCAGCTATTGATTTGATGTAATTCCTCAAAATAGTAAGTGTGGATTGTACATGTAGCATCGTGGTTGGATTTTGTCTCTGACATGTTGAAACCTCATGATTCTTCCCTGCTCTTAGGTCTTCAGGTCAGAGGTCACAGTTGGTCCTACGTACCAAACTTGTGGGGATCCGGCTTTTCACGCACCAAAGCTGTGGTATTCTCTTCCATTGTCTTTACGCCGTGCTGACTCTTTCAAAAAGCAGCTGAAGACATTTCTATACAAACAAGTTTTTAACTAATTTTCTCATTGTTTTGTTTTATTTATATTTCTGGTTTTATTGTGAAGCACTTTGTGATTTTTATCAGTAAAAAGTGCTATAAATGCATCTTTCTTACTTACTTTTCTAAATCTTCAAGGAAACTTTGCCTTAATCTTGTATTCAAATTACAATATTTTATACTATGTTTTGTGTAGTTTCCACGTGCTTCAGTGTTTCTGCACACGCACACAACAATGGTACAATTTCTAATTATTGCGGTACATGCCTTATTGCTAATAATATTATATTTTTATAAATATACCTCAAGCTCCCCATTAGTGGCCAGTTTGGTTTCTGTCTCATCGCTTGTATCATTTTATGATATACATCGTTGAGGATGGGGGATACCTACTTATCCTAGTTTACACATTTCAAGCTGGAGAAAATGGTGTGCCCATCAGCAGCCACAGAATCGGTTCAATATCCTTTATTAAGGATAAATGTAATTGTAACCTCTTAGTTAATCTGAACGATAACCTGTTGTTTTGCTGGAGGGGAACAGAAAATCATTGCATTTGTCATCACATGTAGCAAATATCATACCTTGACTTTTGAATGGCCTGTTGTCTTTATGTGTCTTTTATTTCAAAATAGATTTGTATGGTTTCTTTTAATCAATAAAAATTAAATCCAAAAACCTCTGCAGAGTGATCCTTCCTAACCATCACTCCATCTATTTTCTTAGATATTTTTCCAGCTAAAGTTGAATGGGACATGCACCCATTTCAGCTGACCTTCTTTCCATTCTCCACTGAAAGCTCAAATGTCTCCCATAGATGTTCAGCTCAGTTTCATCTGAGAGCTGTAAAGGCCTTACTCATACACATTATTTTCACCTTCAGTAAAAATAGGATACATACAATGTCATCCTAAAATAGGCCACTGGTATCAGGAGAGAAATGAGTGGTCCTTCCCTCTATAGAGTGAAGTGGATTCCCAGAATTTCGGGTACAAAGCATAATTTGTCAAAAGTAGTCATTTGATCCCCTATCTGCAAATCCATACTGAGAGAAAGAATGACACAAGAGTGACACTATTGCAGTCTCAAGTTCATTCATACTGATTCAAGGTCGCCACTGCCTGATCCTTTCTCACAATATGTTGGACTATTGGCAGACTTTGGCAAACTAACTATTTTATCCTACACCAGTGGTTCTCAAATTGTGGCTCCCTCTAGTCATTAAAGATGAAATAATTTGTGCTGTATTAACACAATGCTAGCACTTTCTTTGCAAAGCATTACTACCCTTCCTGTTGTGTTTGTGTCAAAACTGAATTATGATATCCTCCACACTATGCACTCTAACATATAAAAGTGATGAGCACCTCTTGTGGTTTTCTTAGTCAAAATTGACCACCATAGGAAATGAATGGGAATCCCCCCCCACACACACACACTGACTGACTGAATGACCCACTGAACTACAACAGCAGTGACGTTTGTAGGGTTACTGAAGTTGGGCTAGCTGGTATATAATGATGTGCTACATGATTGCTAGCGACACAGCTACGTTAGCATAAACACAGTGAAGCTGGAGGATGAACGCTAACTTTTTTCCACTCGATAAAAGCTAACGTGAAGGTTCCCGATGGTTAAGGACAAATGTAATCGCATGGCAGGATGCTGTAAACGGACCAAACTCCAGTCAGGAGAACAACTGAGATAATCCATCCACAACACGAGGTTAGTCATTCATATACTGCTGTATGGGCTGTAGTTACATCGGAGGGGTTTAAAAACTGAGCTGTAAAATGAACAGTGGAAATAAAAACCGAGAGAGGCCGACAGTGATCACTGACTGTTTTTAGGGGCTTGTTCAGATTAAATAGAACAAGATACAAAGCACTAAAACATGTTTAAAACACACAGAGTAGTTTGTTCACACGTCATCACTTAAAGACCGGATATCCCACCTGCTGTGAATGTTTTCATGCAGCACAGCTGTTGTTATTATCAGTTGTCACATCCTGTTTATGACAGTTAAATAAATAACATTCATATAAGAAAGAAAATTTTCTCTTGTAAACTGTATGTGGTTTTAAAGAGGCCTATACTACTGTACTTTAATGGAGGTCATAAGGGTGGTACTTCGAGAGCCATTTATTTTATGAGGTGGTACTCATTGTGAAAAGTTTGAGAACCACTGGCCAACACAAAACAATACTATTTTTCATGCAACTTTTTCAAAGACACAAAATTATTACTTCAGTTTGGCGAGACTTTTCATAAATATTCACCCTGTAATGGATCGTGTATAGATTCAATATCCAGTAAAAAAAACTAAAAAATGAATCAAATGGTAAATGGCCTGTATTTGTATAGCGCTTCACTAGTCCCTAAGGACCCCAAAGCGCTTTACATTACATTC